TTTCCTTCCCTTTCTACTTCTACTTTCTCTCTCTCTCTCTTTCCCTTTCTACTTCTCTCCTTTTCTTTCTTTCTCTTTCTCTCTCTCTCCCCCTCCCCCAATTTCTTCCCTTCATTTTGGGAGAAGATTGAGAATGACTTGGTGCCTCTCATTTCTTCGTTACAGTCGGCAATTACGCCATCAATATAATTTTCGTTTCTCTTCTCCGATTCCATACATTCGATTCCTCTGCCCAGCTGCTCAACTTTATTTTGCATGTTAAGCAACAGCTAGGAATAGCTTTCATTTAGCTCATTCAGCATCTTTCTTGAGCTGCATAAGTAAAAAAGAAAAAAGAAAACAAGTGAAAAAATAAGCTAACATTTCCAAAATGCAATACACAGAAGGACTATCTTAAAGTCATGCTGGAGACACATCCATCCCCATGCAGAAATGGAGAAACTGTATTTGAGACTCAAAACCAAAAAAGAAGGCTCCAAAGAATGGGATTTGTCCTTCTACAGTTTCAAATAGCTTCTAATTTCCCTAAATCTAATAATAAGAGAAATTGGAATGAAGAAATGACCAGTTTTCCTATTGGTGCTCTGTAGTGTTCATCAACAGATTGTCACAGTTGGCCAAAACATTATATAGGAAGCTATAAAAGAGGCTTTCACCATTGGTAAAATTCAGATCTTTTGAAATCCTCTTTCTATTTTACCACCTTCCTTTTAGGACGCTTGACTTAGTTATCACTCCAGCTGCAAAGTAGTCAAATATAGAATACTTTATTGGACACACAAGGAATTTGCCTCCAGTGCATAAGCTCTCAGTATACATGGCAAATAAAATTATCATCTTCATAGTAAGGGTACCAAGAAGAAAAGGTAGTGAAACAGATGAAGAGGACAAAAGTAATACAGCCTTACTCCATACTTAGACATAAGATAGTAATGTGGGAATTAGGTGTTCCGCAGATACATATATATTCCCCAGAATCCACACCAAATTTGGTTCCCTTCTTGTTTCAACAATCTTTTCTTTCTTTCTTTCTTTCTTTCTTTCTTTCTTTCTTTCTTTCTTTC